TTCTGTTGATCAAACCATTGAGGCTAGGTCATATAGGTACTATCTGCAAGTTTGGGTGTTCTTGTGCATCTCCCCTCACTTCATATCAGCAGGATGCTTCACTCTCAGCTCCAGCCCTCTGTGGATATGTCCTTGTCCACACTTTGGACCAACCAGTCCTTCCTCTTCTCGCTCTCATCTCCAGGTCAACGGGAGTCAATGGACTGTGGTTGAACTCAGCCCATTTCTTCATTGCTGCCTTTCCCTCTCTTCCACTCACCAGTAGACCAGTGTGGTCGCCAGCAAGCTTACATGCCTGCTCACGTGTTCCCTCTGAATTTTAGTTTTACAGGGGAGTTTGTCCTGAAGGAACTTGATTGCTTGCCTTGATGGCTTCCTGGCAAACAGCTTGTTTATTCTTGTAGTAGTCAACATGCTGACATTTTTGTTTTGGGTTTTTCCTGTTGATCTTTCTTTGAAGATGCATCTTCTGTCATTCTAGCTGTTCCAGGCTGGTCTGCTTGTGGAAATGTCCCACCTCAGAAGGTTCTGGATGGGACTTAGGATTCCACTTCAGGTTGTATACTCTGAAACGGCTCTGCAAGAGGTGTATTTCACTGGGCAAGTTGTAGAACCCCTTTTAGGTATTCCAGTCAGTTATAGGCTGAAGACGGGCTTACAGGTTTTTTGTAATCATTCTTTTCTATCCCACTTGAGTGTCTAATTTACAATAGTAGGCAAAGGAAACCAATATTCATAAGACAGTCAAGCATCTTAGTATTATTTCCCTCTTCAAGCTATGCTAGATCCCTACATCACAGAGCCCTGTTGTTCCAAGGTTGAGCATGCATCACTATTTACCTCTGTCCTACTTAGGACATGCAAACCTGTCTCAGTGTTCACCTATTTATCTTGTTCTTCCACCTCCTCCCCTTTCTTGTATTTCCTTCTCCAACACCTGGACTAAACCCCCACCCCAACCCCACTATTGTGGTTACCTTATATTCCATTAACTCTCCCCTCCATTTAAGACAATCTATTTTATCCTGTAATCTACCTGACCTTCTCACTACCTGGATCTCCATTCCTCTGTATTTACCTTCTTTTACATTGTAATTGTTTTGATCTTAGACTGACCTCCCAGGTCCTTTGTTTTTATCATTTTATTTTGTTCTAGACTCTTCATTTGTTGATTGAGTGATGCTGCCACGTACGTCAGTCTCTGGTTGTTGTCTGTTCTTGTTGGTTCTCAGTCCACAGAATTTCCTTTAGGATGTTTTTCATCACATGGTTGACTTTGGGAAAGTCCCTTAGCTTCTGTTCATCTTGGAATGTTTTGATTACACCATTGTATTTGATTGACAACTTTGCTGGGTAGAAGATGAAGATTCTCGGTTGGCAGTTTTTTCTTTCAGGGTTTTATATATGTCTCCCCATTGTCTTCTTGCCTGCATGGTTTCTGTTGAGAAATCCTAGCTTGCCTTTGTATGTTACATTTCTCTTTTCCCTAGCTGCTTTCAGGATTATGTCCTTATCTTTGATTTTGGAGAGCTTGATTATTGTATGTCTTGGTGATTGTCTTTTAGGGTCTATCCTTTCTGGGTTTCGTTGAGCTTCTTGAATGCTTATCTTTTCGCTTTTAAGGATGTTAGGGAAATTTTCTTCCAGAAGTTCTTCAACTATCTCCTCTGTGGACTTGTGTGATTCTTCCTGTTCCAGAATGCTGATAATTTTTAAGTTATTCCTCTTCATGTTGTCCAAAATGAATTTTAGGCCTTCATCAGTTTTTTTAATTCTTTTTTGTGTTTGCTCTTCTGTCTTAGTAATGTTGAGAGATTTATCTTCTAGTTTACTAGATCTGGCTTCTATCTCTTCAGTTCTACTCCTTTGCCCTTTCAGTGTATTGTCCATTTCTGATATTCTATTATTAATCGTTTGGACCTCTCTCTGTAGGTTTTGAATTGTTTCCAGTGCTGTATCTGTCTTATTTGATTGTTCCTTTAGCACGTTCCTGACTTCTTCCTTATTTGTCTCAACTCCATTGTATAGTGTTTTGATACATTTTGTAATCATTTTTCTGAATTCCTTCTCAGGTATTTCCAAAGCCTGCCCTCACTCCAGTATGGAGTGTAGGTCTGCTTCCAGCTCATTTGCCTCAGTCACTTTATCTTATTTCTGGACATGTGCAGATATGGTCATCTGCTTCTGTTTTTTGGGAATATTCAGGAGTTAGTTGTGGCCTTAATACTTAGATGAGTTTGTGTTTTGATATTTTTATGCTTTCTGAATGCCGCCATGTAGATGTGATCAGGAAATGGGCTTCCCTTTTCACTCTTCTTCCTGAGAAATTTTAAGATGCCACTGTTGGTCGTTATGATGTAACTCAAG